AGGTACGTGCGGGGACAGCCTGAAGAGCTGCAGGACATCATCGAGAGTGAGTGAGGGCAGCGCGGTGTCAGGGCAGGAGGGTGCGTGGCCGGGCCGGCAGTGCCCCGGGGGGGAGCTGTGCCGCTGGGGCCCTGACAGGGTCTGTGTTCCCAGGGATGGCCGGCAGGTACCTGCGGGGACAGTACCAAGAGCTGCAGCTCATCATCGATGGTGAGTGAGGGCAGTGGGGCTGGTGAGGGGAGCACAGAGCCCGGGGCAGGGAGCTGCAATCCTGCCCTGGCTGCGCAGGGCTCTGCTCCCTGCCCGGACGAGGGGCAGTGCGGGCAGAGCAGAGAGAGATTTCAGGGGCATGGGAGGTTTTGGTGGCCAGCACCTTCCAGCTGATCCCGTTGGGCCCTGCTCCCTCCTGGCAACAGCAAGAGCTGGGTGGGATGGCCCTGGCAGGAGGGGCTCCTCGGGTCCCCACCGATCTGGGCTCTGACCTTGTCTCTGTTCCTCTCTGTTCCAGCCCTTCAAGCCACGACAGATGACAGCAGCCCCACTGTCTCAAACCTGGCACTTAAAAACATCAACTTCCTTAGAGCTGTACAGAGAGCTCCCTACCTCCAGCAGCTCCGAGACCAGCTCTGCAGGGCATGGAGTACCCGGCCTTCTGTGTGGGGCTGTGTGTACCTGTGCTGCTGTAGCTGTGTGGAGAGCTGATGCAGGCAGCTCTGTCTGTTGGGGCCACCTGAGCCTGTGGGGAAGACGCCTCTTCTCCGCAAGCCCTTCCTATTACACTAGCATAGGAATATTAAATAAGTCTTGTCATCTACAGAGCCCTAGGAGCTTTTTTTGGGTGCCCGGTGTCCACAGGGCATCTGGGAAGAGGGAAAAAAGGGCCCTTGTGCTCAGCAACACTTGCCCAGGTGTGCAGTGCGGAAGGTCAGTCAGACTCCCAAAACTGAACATGGATGAAGATTCCTCCCAGATAAAAGGTGCCAGGACAGAAAGCTCTTGCTGCCCATGGAGTGCCTGGGCTGGCCCACCAACTGCACTTGAAACCCAAAGGTTGCAGGCTTTCTTTCCTGGGGAAAAGGGCTGTTGTTCTCTTTTTTGAGCCCTGTGCTTAAATTTTCAGTCCAACTCCCAAAATTGAACATGGACTAAGATTCCTCCCAGAAAACAGTTCCAGGACAGAGAGCTCTTGCTGCCCATGGGGTGCCC